GCCTGGTGAGAAAATCGGGTGAGCAATGATGAGGTTCGTCATCATTCCTTTGATGCCGATGGTTCTCGGAAAGAAGAAGTCGCTCTACACCTCTGATGACTCAGTCATGTTTTGCGTCTACCTGTCCGTCGTCCACCTTTTCGTGTTCTCTGCACATACGAAGCAAGTGTGGAGGAGGCGTTTCGGCGGTCGAACGCTGACGTGACTTTGAGTTATAATAAAGTTAGCTTCAGCACTGACTTAGAGTAGAGTTCGGTGACGCCTGTGAAAATCCCGTACCTCAATAAGAAGAACAAACAGAAACAGATAGAGGAAATGTTCTCTGTAATATGTTTCTCCTAATTTGTCTGTGTTATGCTCAACTCTACGTTTTATGTTTTCAGTATTTTATTAGCATCGCGCTTATTCTCCAGCCTGTGATCTACATTATATATATATATATATATTCTCCCAGCATACGCGGGTGTTTTTGCGCAAACCATGGTTTTCGAGGACGGATAATCGTTGAATATGATCTGCTCGAAGAGGCCAAATTTCGCAGCCATAGAGCAACATGGTGCCTACCGATGCGCGATACACACCCTTTCAGTGAAACGGATATCAGTTCACTTTGAACAACCATTAAGCAAACACTTCTATGCGTCGCTTTTGGATGAACAGTAGGAGGAAAACCGAGCCTTCTGAAAGGGATATGTCGCTCCGGTGCCAGAGATACCGTGAATTAGCACACACTGGTCTAGCTTTGATTACTCTTGGAGAGATCTCACTGCTAGCCATTATGTAACTCCTGAGGTGGATGAAGCTTTTGACTACCTCCAGAGTATAGTTACCCGTCGAACGGGTTCCTTTCAATCTTGCAACAACACCTTGCACTTTGAAGGTGTCAAGAGCATGTCATGACGAGTAACCTCAATTGCTAAACGATGCAACGATTACTGTATTGTTGGTGCGTTGTCGCCGAGTAGGGCAATATCATCGACATATTCTGAGTTTCCGGCTCTGCCTCCAGGAAGAAGCTTGATGCTTTTTGTAGGACATCATCTATGGCAAAGTTGAAGAGAAACGAAGAGATAGGGCAACCATGTCGCACCTAACTGCTGACAGGAAACGAGGTTGAAAATCCACCATAGGCACTAACCTTCCCCGAGGTCTAGTGATATAGCGCTTTTAGGAGTGAGACATACTTCTCGGGTACTCCGTATCTCCGCAAACAGTTCCATATTGCCGGGCAATCGATAGAGTCGAAAGCCGCTCTGATGTCTAGAAACACGACAATGATTTGTTGACTGTATGCGTAGCGGTGTTCTAGTAGATGACGGAGGGTGAAGATTTGATCTACGCATCTACGGCGTGCACGAAACCCGGCCTGCTCCTCACAGAGTAGGCATAGCCGGCGTAATAAAACGGACGCCAGCAGCTTCGACGCTATTGGAATCAGACTTATGCCCCTGTGGTTGGAATAGGCGTTGCAACAACTCTTCTTTTAGACGGAAGTAGCAATCGGTTCTCCCCATGTGAGGGGTACACTCAATTTCCCGGATCTTCAAGACCATTTTGACAAGCTTTCTCACGAGAGCTTTACCACTTTCGAAGAGGGCGGAGTAGGTTGCCTGATCCAGCCGCCTTGTGACGTTTCAGGGCTTGGAGTTCCCTTCGGATTTCCGCTTCTGTGGGCGGTTCCGTGGATAGTGAACGGAGTGCACTTTCCAGAGAATTTCTTGAGGCAGCCAGCGTGAGGGGCTGGTTGAGCTGTGACGTGAAGTGCTCCACCTAGCGTTCAAAGTATCGGTGAAGAATGTTAATTGGCGTCCCGTCTACTTCGCAGATTGTTTCATTGACGCACTGTCTTTTGGAGCCCATAGGACGGATGAGTTGGAATGGTTGACGAGTGTTTCCTTATTTACCTTCTGATTCCATCCCCTTTGCAGGTAGCGTCCACCAAGCCTCTCGGTCGTCTCTCAAACTCTTTGTGAGTTCACGCTTCAGAGAGGCGCTGTTTACGAGGATTGCCCGAATTTGGTCAAAAAGTCTGAGAGAGCTGGGGGAGACCCAGTGTTTTACAACTCGACGGATCAGGCCACAACTGTGCATTGCATTTTGAATATTTGCCCGAGTGTTGATCTATCCTCCTTAGTGGGGTAGTAGTTAGCCTTGCGGTCAATTCATTTTGGTAGTCGTTTAGCACGACGGGTTCAGAAACCTTGGCGCGACATTAGGCTGTTTGCACATCTTTTTGCGGCCGCCAGATCGTACAGACAACTTGGCACAATTCAGTGCGTGGTCGGACTCCAAGCAGGTAGACCAATACGAACGGCAGTCTTTCACACACGTCTGTAAAAGGTGAAATTCTGACAGAAGTCGAAATCCGGTCTTGCATTCGAGCTCTGAGGAGAGAAAAGCAACAGTACCTGATGGACGTCCACTCTTTATGTTTCCACGGTGCGTGTGTAGGTGGGGGTATAACCATTTAGACTCCCATTCTGACTTACCACACAAGGTCTGTTCGCAGGAGCGCATTTAATTATACTCTGGGGGTGGTTCACTAATCGTCCCAATTTTCAAAAAGGGATCTCGCAGTGACTTCACAAACCACAGTGGGATAAGTTTGGTCCCGAACGTCCCCAAAATATTAACCCCGTCATGCTTTAGTGTCTGACTCCTTTAACAGGAACCAGTAACCGCGATCAGAAAGCCAATTTGCTTATTGTAAGCGTCGCTCTACTTTAGATGCGGTTGCTTGTCTTATACGTTCTCTTTTATCCACTATAGACCAAAAACAAAATTGTTCACCTTTGTTTCTTAGAATACACAAACGCGTTTAACTCTTTCCATAGAGACATCCTATTGACACTGTTACGGCGACATAATCTCCCGCCAAATCTTTTGAATTGGATGCACGACTATTTTACCGGCTGACGCCAATACACTAGTCTTAATTGTATTAGGTCTTCTACTATCACTGTAAACCAGGGTGCAATTTTCTGTTCTCCTTTTATATCCAAAACTTGTCAGTCATCCCAAATGTTTTCACTTTTAGATATGCTGATGACATAGTAGTTGGTGGTGCAACAACCGTTCAACTAACCCCTTCAATCAGCCATAAGTTCCATTTCCGAATGGTCCGATGGCGTTAACCTTTCTTTAACCCTCAATAAATGCATTGGAGCTTTGTTTTCTATTGACCGTAGGCCATCAAGAACTTCTGGATCACCTGCTCCCAACATCTTAAACAATAACTTAGAAGTTGGAAGGTCACAACACTTCAAATATTTCGGATGTTTTCTGTCTGCTGACCTCAAATAGTCCTATCACGTAGAACAAACATTTCTGACAGTCAGAACTTTGACCTATATTTCACACCTTTGTCATTCGAGAATGCACTCTTGACTTGATAGATCCCGACCTAATGCCGGAGTGTTGCTCATATGGCTCATAGGCAATTGTCAGTCTCTAGCTGAACAGGGGTCTATGCATTCTTGGTGAGTACAGCGTCATTGCTTTGATCGTTGAGTCGCGTAGGTGACTTCATCCACCCAACGCGCTGATACCGCATTCGCTTGTTAGACACCGACTCTCTGGGAGTTGAGCTCCCGGGTAGCCTCAACCTGGTTTGGTTCGCCTGTCGAACGGTTTACCGGGGTGGGACCGCTGTTACATCCCTGATTCCAAAACAACCAAGAAAATGCGTCCGAACCACAAACACACCTACCGGGTCGTGATAGTGGTCACCGGCTCGATTGGAAGTCGAAGTGTCTTAGACACCTGGAATATTCGATCCCGACCAATGAACGTATGATCCGATGAACTGGACACCTGCCTCCAAAGGATCGCGATTTTCACACACTGTCACGGTGCCTTACGAGTCAGGCTTTCGCTAACCGAAGACTCCAGTTGTAAACTCCCTAAGAAAATATATATATATATATATGATTTCTATGTTCTAAAGGTTGTTGTATCGTGATTTTTGGGCTTTTATTCTCCACTCGAAATTGAATAACAACAACAATAAGAAAAACGTGGAACCTACTTGACTTGATTTGACTATGAACTGGTAGGCAGCTCTGCTGTCGTCCGGTTCAATACCACGCCTAAATTATCGGGGCCTCATGTGGTTCGCCACCCCAAGTCTCGGGGCTTAGGTTGCCGGTTCCCACCACTGAACAGCAGGTCCTCGTGACTATAGGCTTTTACTCGTCTGCTGTTCATCACACTTAGTTGTGTAATAAAAAAAATCGTTCGGAATTTACTGTACTGCTGTTTTCAAATCTATTCACCACGCATTCACTCACATGGAAATTGAGCCAATGCAATCTACGAAGATGATGAGATTGCTTGTCCTAATACTTCCACAAATGAAGCTAACCAATTGGTTCAAGTTGCTGTCCATGGTGCGCACTGATGTGTGCCAATGCTGCCTCGGTTTATGGATAGTTTCGCTATATCGGCTCAATAGCACTACTCCGGGTCTATTGCAGATGTGTAGTTCTTCATCCCAAGTCATTTCATCAAATTTGAATTTTGATTCCTCGTTAACGTGAGATTCATACCGTTTTATTCATTACACGGTACTCTATGTGTGTTGACAGAAACGGCAGTCTATTGGCGGCGAATCTGTGATTTACTAAATTGATCCAACACATTTTTCACGCCTAACCTATGGGGCCTTATGTGGTTCACCACTCCAAGTCCCGGGGCTTAGGTTGCCGGTTTCCATCTCTGAACAGCAGGTCCTCTTGACTATGGGGTTCGCTCGTCCGCTGTTCATCACATTGGGTGTAACAAAAAATTACTCAGGGAAACATTCAGGATAAATTATTGTATTTAACCAGTGGAATTTCGTTACGTTATCGTATTTCGTATTAATGCACTGAACAATAAAGTATGTTTGCAACCACCATTCTTTCTGGTAGTTCAAATTAATTTGTGTGAATCCATGGTATTGTTCCGCACGTGCATTTCAGAGGCCTGTTCATAGAAAAGAGTCGGCACAAGGTAACAGATCACAGTGAAGCGTGTATTTTGGGCCAGCTAACCCGCAACAAATAGGGCTTTTCTTCATCCTGAACACGTGCGCAAACAACGGTTTCTTTGAACGCGAGATTTAGCTCAAGTATTGAATTTGTTGTAAACGCATGCCCGAGAAAGCATACCGTTGGTTGTGATGTGGCCACGCTACCGGATAGGAACCAAGCAGAGATCTGTGTCAGTCGCGAACCGCTAGCGGCAATCAATTTGCTTCCGTCCCGAGAGCACAGAAGATGCGGTGGATTGTTCACAGTGTAGTCCAGTCGTTCACTCGTGGGCAAGTGGTGCACTGCCCGGTCTCGAAGCGGACACCAGACAAATAGTCCACGGTTCAAACAAGCACTGACTACCACCCCATCCGGTCCGTTCACTGTTAAAGCAATCAGTCCGGGTTGATCTAACAATCGTCGACGATGCCATGTCAGACCTGATGGTTTCTCGGCACATGGTGTGTGTAGTGCATGCAGAGACCACAATGTCAAACACGAGGTTCTGTGTCTGGTACTGAATTCAGAATTTGCTAGCCAGTGACCGTGATAAGACAAAGCAGCAGTTGTTAGGGTAGAATTATACGTGATTGAGGGATTGGTCTGGGTAGAATGAATAGAGATTTCGTTTGCAGACAGCTCATCCCCGATGTGAGCATACGCTTCATTTAAATTCCCCACATGTTGTTGTACTCGAAGAGAGAACACGCACAAATGAGGCAGACTGTAGCTGACCACAAGCATAGAACCATCTCCACTGAGAACGTATTTCTCAATGGTCAGTTGTTCTTGTGCGTCTTCTGTTGGTTGGGTTTGAACCATATCTTCCTCCTTGGCTTCCAATGACAACAACACGTCCGTGCTGTCCGTTACGTCTGGAATCTCACGTGTGTCCGACTGATCAGCGTTCCAGTCCGGTTTCATGCGCCAGGCCACCTGGCCATGAATGAGACTCCAGGCCATAAAATGTGTTCGGTTCTCATCCGGACCGATCAGATAGGCATTGTCCCAAACAAGATATTCGGCCATATTACACGGAATGATAAATACCTCGGGCACGTGACGTTTCAAATCTGGACGTGGGTAATCTGCCGTTGCGTCTGCGTCCAATTCGTACACGGTCATACGTTGGTAAACTTCTCTGTATAAATAAATAATCGGCGGGCGGGGGGGGGGGGGGGGGGGNATTCACTAACCAGTCGTTTAATAATTACTTAAAATGAACATCTACTGCGAGTTTTATTCCCGTTAGCCATAAGAGAGTGGATTACGTACGTTGGATTTACTAACAAGTCGTTATTGTACGTTCAAATAATTTCAATTATTCACATTTATTCCATCAATAGATGCATTCAGTCAAAGTTTTATTATGCGAATTACTTACACGTTCATGCTTCTTTTGTTTCCTGGGGATACTTACACGGCTGAATCGTTTGCTCGGCAAAAAAATGATAAAATGTCACCTATAGTTCCGGGCCGGATATAATACACAATGTAGTCTTCAACTAACCTGATTTAATCTTATTTGTGTGCGAATACGAGAATTGTAATGGTTTTCATCAAGTCTCCACTTGAAAGATTCAACAGTTGGCGCACAAACGACGTGAGATGGAAAGGTGTTCCATGTACTGCACACTCTGACTGCAAAAGATTGACACCGGCATTCCAATCGGCACTTTGAAATCAACAACTTGAAACGATGTCCCTTAAGGTGTATGTTGGACGACACCGCGATCAGCAAACGACATGGATGTTTTGGGTTCTGCGGTATAAATAATACTTCAAAATCAAGTCTCCTCGAATTAGGCAACTCGTCCAGCTAAACCAAATCAGAAGGAGCCATACGCAACGTGGGGTGTTCAGTACTGTCGCTCTTAATGGACTTCAGCGTCATATTGATTTGGACCAGACTCTACAAGTTTGAGTAAATAGGCAAGAGGTGACATTTTCATGGTAAATAAATGCCTCCCCCATCATCAGTAGACGGTCGGAAAAGCTCGTTCACAGACAGGATGCGATCACACAAAGAACCTAGGCAAGTGCTACAAGCTAATTGCAAACTGTATATCCCGCTACTGGGTTTGTTTTATACTGAAGTTGATTTCAATGATAGGATTGAGTCAAGTAGTCCGAGGATTCACCACATATGAAGCTCTGTGGGAGGATAGTCTGACTAGTCGTTTCACAGCACATTTTACAGATGAGAAACAAGCTTCTTGCAAAAAGCTGCACATGATCATCTAAACTGACTACTGACAAAGACCAGAGTAGTCAGTAGCCAAATGTGGTTAACAGAAAGTCGTTCTACCCGTTACGCTACGTGCTGTACATTTTAGGACTGGGTTTATGATAGGTGTATGGTCCTATGCTGAAACGCATCAAGAAGGATGAGAGAAGGGAAAAAAATTCCAGCCCACTTATGACTGCAGTATTCCAGTTTAGATCGAATCCTAGCCGCCTTCGTGAGGTGTGTAGAGATGAGGAAACGTTTGACTCGGGAAAGTGTCGATTTTGTGCACGGTACGAGAGAGGCAAGCAACCGGATGTGGGGTGATAATAAACAGGAAGAGGATGATTATTCAAATCTGTAAAACAGGGAAAGTGAATGTCAAAGAGAAAATTTCATAGGATTTTAAACAAGTGAAGTTTTATCAGCATTGAAGAGGACACGGTTGTGAGTAGCCAATCCTTTTACTGGCAGTGGTAGGACTACAAGAACACTAGGACAGAGAACAGTCAAGAACAGCATCATTGGAAAGGGCCTGTATGAGGTTGGTCTTTCAAGAAAGAAGGTTGTTAAAAAGGGAGAGTAAAAGAGTCGGTGAAATTTGTGGGGAGCATCAGCGATCAGTTGGACAGAACGGCACATGATCTCATCCAGTCGAATGGAAAAGGGCGTCTTGGCTAAGCAAATCTGAGATACAAGTCACGAGTTTCTGAGAATGGCAAAACCGCAAAATTTCAACCAGTCAACTTGAGTGTTAGACACGACCGAATGCCCCGGATGAGTCCAGCGACACGCGAAGGGATTCTCTGCAATCGTTGAGGTTTGATGCATTTAGCGGTTAGTTAACTTGATTTGAGTGTTCTATGCTACTTTCACAGTTAAGGTTGGTCTTTCTGGCAACAATAAATGAAGCTCAAGGTGCATCATAAAACCAACATACAATCAATCTCCTACCATGTCGCACTCCTGAGAAGTCGCATTTTCCCATAACTGAGAAAACCCTTAACCAACCGCATGGGTAATAACGTAGTTTCTGAATATGCAATGTCGCCCCCCACCCGCTCAATATGTTGCAGTTCCTGATACCTACTCACTTGGTCGTTTATCAATGTTCGGGACGGTCATTGACCAATCAACCTGCAATGTCTCATTCTGCTAATGGCGTGTCACCCAGTGTGACGCGAACATGATACTATTCACGGATTAGATATTCCTTACGAGGGGTGCGACATAACGGGAGATTGACTGTATTATTCTTCGATCGAGTTGATATTCTTCTAACAGGCCAAACGTGTTCCGGTAACGACTATTGCAAGGATAATTATGCCAGTTTTTCCAACTGAAGCATCATTTACCAATTCACTTGTCTGGGGATCTAAATACCACGTAGGCAGGACAAAAATGTAGTTGGAAAGCCTAACAAACTCGTAGGATATTAGAAAAATCATACCGGTCAAAACACGCCAGACAATTTCTCGAGGCACTCTTCAATCAACTGAATAAACAGGCACACCGAACTGGATCACGTGTACACGTCAATGCAACTCAAGGATCAAATAATGCAACAAAAAAGAAGGTCACGCCGTGACCTGAGAACGGACGGAAACCGCAATGGGGACGAAAGGACAACCTCTCCCACCCTCATCCCCGTGCACCAGTTTCACGGCGAACCGAGTCGAACAAAGTGAGACAAGGGACTAAAATAGTCGGTGGAGAAGACCACATATAAACAAACAGATACAAGACAGAACACTGTCAATCCACAAGCACTGATGATATCACCTCGGCTGGTGTGATAAAACGTTTGCAAACAAATTGCCAATTACTCGGCAGACAGGTGAATTAAAACTTTTTTTTTGTTTCTATTAGAAATCATCGGAGCAAATGGAGTGAGCTGTTTTAGGGTACCCGAAGAAATCGGGTAAGATAAAGTTGGTGGGAAAAAGGAAAAGTGTTCATCTTTTTCTAGGCGGGTAGTGTATCAGGTTACCAGACTGACCGGAAGTAGATGATAAATTGGAGAAACAGAAAATGCAGGATAGGTTGGAATTGGATCAAGACATTAGAATGTTTGTTTTTCGGAAGAAGCAGTGCTTCATTATCCCAATCTGGTGCTGGACAGAGCGTTCCTTCACCTGCCCCCTTGACTGTCCTGCAGTTGTGGTGCACTCGAACAGATGTTTATAGATTATTTTATTTTTATTTTTACACACATCTGAGGCCAGACTGTATGCCTAACAAATCATGGTACAATAGTCTTTATGAAAAAGCAAAACTTTCGATGATTTACATGTGGGCGGAAAATTGCCAGGTTGGCCAAGCCGAGGCAGGTGAATTTTCTTGAGAAATTCACAACCGCAGCCTTCGACTGGCCAAAGCCTGACCCGAAATGCAGCGGGGCGGTGTGTGAAAACCACATTTCATTGGGAGCCGGTGTCCATTTCATCGGACCATACACCCTCCGGACGGGGTCAAACGTCCAAGGTAAGCAATAGACTGCGATGCTTAATTGAGCCTGTGACCTTTGCCACGACCGAAAAGATGTGGGTGTGTTTCGTACGCCTCCTCTTGGTTGCTTTGGAATCAGGGTTTTTGGTCAACTCCCCTAAATGAACTACCAGTGGTCCACCAACCCGATTATAGCCTCGGATGTCAGCTATTCGTCCTCTCACTATGCTTATCGATAAAGACTTTTTGACGTGTGTGTGAGTGGGTGGAACGTTGTTTACCTTTTACGAACCGAGAGTGATCAGGCGTGAGCTGATCATTTCCAGGAAGGAAATCTACCGTGTGTGGAAGTCAACTTAAATACATCTAAAGCTCTACTGCACGGGTGTTTGTTTGTCTATGGGTACGAGGCCTTGTGAGATCGATAAATTAGCTCTGTGAATAAAGTACACCTATAATCGAATATGCCGATCGGGAAGCGGTCATACAATTCAAAACTCCTCGGATCTCCTCTTTTTTCATTTTACTTGCTTTTATTAAGTGTACAAAGATACAATTTTCAGGAACGGGAATGTGAACAATCAAAGGGCTGTCATAAAACACATAATAGAGAAAGACAGACGTTGGTGGTGGGATTCGAACACTCGTCCTCCGAGGTGATAGTTGGTAATTGGACACACGAAAGAATTGGGTTTTCTCGATTGGTTTCAGATTAGCACAATGTGATTAACACGCGTCACTCTCGTCGAAGGTGTCGGACATGATCAATCCGCTGACACGCGACTTCTCAGAATGGTACCATTGAAGATTAAGCCTTGGTTTTTGTTTTAGTAGAAACGGTAATCAATCAGTTTGACAATCGGAAAATGATTTTGGGTAGATCAACCCAGTGAGTAATATGAATGTTTCCGACCGAGCAATAACCCGGAGGCTGGTGCAGACTTGAACGAGGTCTGTCACCCTCAACAAGCTCGCAAAGATAGGTTGTGCTATGTCGTGTAAATGGAAAATGAAAAACGAGCTGATCAGCTGCCTCGGGATGACCGAATGGGTAGTATGCTTGTATTCTGCCCACGAGGTCCCAGGTTCAATCCCCAGTTGGGTCGATAGATTCGCACTGCTGATCAGACCCAACCAGGTCGAAACAGCTGTCCAGTACTTTCTAACTTTTCAGTTCACCTTTCATTTGCTATATGCACGATGAATTCATCTTTGAAATTGAAATCAAATCCTCCATTCTCACTTGAATAATATGGAACTAAGTATTTTACCCCAAAACCGGTTAGAAAATACTGTTTTGTGAGGACATAGATTAGATTAGATACCTCTACTTGGTACGGGATCGAAGAGAAGTCTCCTATATGATCATGTAGTTTTTCAATGATTTTTGAGCTTTCGTGTTCCATTTGCTAGGTGCCGTTTAACTCGTGGCATCGTAAATGGGATTAGT